AAAGCTGGGTAAGGATGCCAGCTCCAAAATGCCCAAGTCCTCCCTTGCTCTTGTGTGATGCTGCTTTTAGGGGTCTTGTAGGACCTCCTTTATCCAGTGGCTTAGCATGTTGCTTGGCAGTGCAGATGGTGGGACACAGTCCTCTGGTGGACCTGACTTCAGTGGTGGCTTCTCTCTTACTTAAGGTGACCCGAGGGCAGAGAAGTGAGAGCCAAGACATGGGACAGAGAAGTTCCTCAGAAAAGGAGAGAGAAATGGCTTTGGGCCATTTGGCTATGTCTTGCTTTTGCCCTAACAATCCCTCTTCTCTCCTCCAGACCACAGAAGGAAGCAAAGTGATCAGCCAAGACTGCTAGAAATCAGAAATGTTATTTAACATCATGGGCCACGACACAAAATCCCCAGTTACAAATAATACCACTCCTCTATAAAAAGAAAGTAAACATTCCTGGCAGGGCTTAGTTCATGCGAACTTGGGCTGTCCCCTCCCTACAACGCTTTGTACTTCCCCAGAACCGGAACACATTCAAATAACCCCCATCATGATTTATGTAATTATGAGAATGAATGAGCTATGGGATGGAGCCATCCCAAATCACAGCTCCTAGGGGTCAACTAATCCTCCAAGAACTCATTTTAGTTATGCTAACAAAAAACCAATGACGCCAGCATCTCCTCAAGCACAAAGACAGAGGTTGAGTCTGCCAAGTTGCTATAGACAATAAGGTCCAACTGGCACTTAGATAACCCCAAGGGCATAAGAAATGTCCTGTGGCTCTTCATGAGGGGAAAACAGTGCAGTGAAGACCACAGGGACCTTATCCACACAGCAGGCACTTTTCAGGCTGTCCCCAATAAAGCTGGTAAGATGGTGCCTCTGAATGATGACAGCACCTGAAGACAGAATTTGTCACTCTAAAACCTTAATTTTAGCTTCCTGCTGCTTGATTTAACTTGTAACCCAGGTTGTGTGATCTAAAGGTGAAATGTCTTGTCTAAGCCAAGCATGCAGCCTCAATTTATAGTCAGCAAGAGAGACAGTGACTTAGGTTTGAGGACTGCAGTAGAGATAGCTCTTGTCAAGCTTATGCTTTCCCCATTTCACCCCAGTCCTCACCTTCTGCACATCCACAGTGCTCCTCAGCTGGGGTTACCAAAGCACATTGGCTGTATGAGGGAGGTTGGTGACAGCAGCCTTATGCTGGCAGGAGAGGATGGGGCAGGGGAGAAGAAGCATTGAAGATGTGCATTCGCTTGGCCATGTGATGGAGAAATTCATTTTTACTGTAATGGTGGGTGTATCCTTCATAATAAAGATGCCATGCTGACAAATGATGGGGAAGGGACTGTGCAGAGAGAGGTAAGAGGTTTGAGCAGTGACCTGACAGCAGCAGACACATTCTTGACTGCTTATTGAACACAGCATAAGTGGAGCAGTCCAAGGTATCCAAAATCTCTCTGAAGGCAACATCAAGCCACAGCAGGCATCACTGGATATCTGTTCAACTGTAGCCTGCCCCAAACAGATTCATTTTGCAACTTTTGGTATATTTTCCACACTTTTAAGACCCAGCTGAGCTCAGCCATGTATTGCAGGCCTATAATGAGGGCGTATGAAAAAGACAGACAATAACAAGGTTAAAATACATTGGGACAAAGCAGAAATAACTTTCCTGGGCAACGCACTGGACCCGCCCTTGGACTCTCAGTGCTTTTTTCTGATCCCCCCTTCAAAACCACCCAAACTCATTCAGGTCCTGCCTGACCCTATAGCTCCCAAACCCCTAACTAAAATACAGTTAGATCCAAGGGGAATAACCCAAGCAGCAAAGTCGTACTTGATCAAGGCTGGTATCGGCAGAGGGTGCTCCTTGCATGTGCTGCGGCGGCACAGCTCAGAGCTTGCACGCTCCCACGTGCCAGACGCTCGCTGCAGCACGGGTAAATTCATGCTGCCCAGATCCCCAGAAAACAGATGCTCATCCTAGCCTTCCTTTGCTTCCGCGACAGCAAACATGCCCAGTGATCCTTCAGAGGTAGCATTTAACACCACTTCCTAAAATAAAACTGCAGGCAGCTCTTTCTGCCTCCAGACTCTGATGCTTGGCCACGCTAAGTTTCTGCCAGGATCTGGGAGGATTAGGATCCTCATTTAATCTTCCCAGAATGACTAATCCTCCAGGGCTGAACAAACTCAATCTCACACAAATACGTCCCGGGGTGCTGGGTGTCCACCCATCCGTCTCCCCAGATCCCACTCCCCTTGTGCCCCTGTTCTGACTGGGGCTTTGGGCAAGCGAGAGGGCTATGGGATCACCCAGCTGTGCGCGCTTAGACCAAAAGCGCAGCTCAGCTCCTCGTGAGAGCAGCACACAGGGTGGCAAAAGCAATATTTATGATGCTTAGCTTCGATGCTGCTAGGAACAAATCAGCCTGTGCTCGGAGTTATGAAATGCCTTGCATGCAAGGAAGCAAACACATCTGGGGCTTTTAGGGGGAAAAAAGATGGCAGATGGGGGATATAACAGAGTATAAAACCAGGAGTGGCATGGGACAGGATTGCTTGGGCTAATCAGGGAGCTTCCAGTGAAACAAGCAGAGAGCAGAGAAGTCTTCACACTGTGTGGTTCACCTGGGGACCTCCTTGCTGTGGGATATTGGGGATGCCAAGTGTTTTTCCATGCTCTTGTAGTGACAAATGATAGCACGGAAAATATTGTATTTTTGTTTCCTGCTGTCATTTTCATAAAATCACAGAATAGTTTGGGTTGGAAGAGACCTTTCAAGGACATCAATTCCAACCCCCTGCCATGAGCAGGGACATCCCCAACTCGAGCAGGTTGCTCAGAGCCCCGTCCAGCCTGACCTGGGATGTTTCCAGGGATGGGGCATGGACCACCTCTCTGGGCAACCTGGGCCAGGGTTTCACCACCCTTACTGTGAAAAATTTCTTCCTTGTATCTATATCTGCGGAGCCCCTTCTGACTTCTCCCAGACCAGCAGGGAGAAAGACTCCGCCAAACCCTGCCCGCCTTCACCCAGTGAGCTGCAGCCAAACCCAGTATCCGTGCTCCCTCTACTGGTCTTACTGGTCCTCCTGCCAGGTCCTCTCTGCCTGGCAGTGGCACGCAGAGAGGCAAGGACAGACAGACAATGCAACATGGCCTTCAGGAGTGGGTTTGCATGGCCTTACAAAGGGAGAGGAGAAGAGGTGTCTCTGGGCAGCTACGTTTTAGCTTAGAGGTTGGTACAACACTGCCCAAGCACCAGCTTATGGCCACAAATAATTTACAGAATATATATTGCATATAATCATTACAGCCACATAAACAGCTTATGGCAATTCTAGCATTTTCTAAGGCAACCTTGAGAATAATTTTTTGGGATCCCCTTCGGTGCTTCTTCTCACTAGAGCCCCTCTGCCCCGCTCGGGGGAGCCCCCCCGGCAGTGCTACGTCCAGCTCTGGAGCCCTCGGCACAGGAGAGACACGGACCTGCTGGAGCGGGGCCAGAGGAGGCCCCAGCAACGCTCCGAGGGCTGGAACAGCTCTGCTGGGAGGACAGGCTGGGAGAGCTGGGGGGGTTCAGCCTGGAGAAGACTCCAGGGAGATCTTCTTGCAGCCTGTCACTACTTAAAGGGAGCCTATAGGAAAGATGGGGATAGACCTTTTAGCAGGGCCTGTAGTGATAGGACAAGGGGTAACGGTTTTAAACTCGAAGAGAGTAGGTTCAGACTAGATCTAGGAAGCAATTTCTCCCAATGAGGGTGGTGAGGCACTGGCCCAGGTTGCCCAGAGAGGTGGTCGATGCCTCATCCCTGGAAACATCCCAGGTCAGGTTGGATGGGGCTCTGAGCAACCTGCTCTAGTTGGGGATGTCCCTGCTCATGGCAGGGGGTTGGACTAGATGGCCTTGAGAGGTCCCTTCCCACCCAAACTGTTCTATGATTCTGTGATTCTATGATTCTGTTTTACTCCTGAAGTGCAGGGCTGGGATTTGAAAGAGCTGGCTCTTATTCCTGGTTGAGCAGCAAACCTGATGGGTGACCTTGGTCATGTCGTCTCTGGTCCTCTCTTTACTCTAGCTCCTCTTAATTCTTATGCCAGGCCCTACTCTATGCAGGACAGACTCTTTAGCCTGGACTCTTGTTTTTCCTTTGGGATGATATGTCCTTTGGCTGTTTGGGCTTCCCACTCCATTTTACCTGGACTGCAGCACCCAGCTCCTGATTCCAGGCTCTTTAACCATGAGGCACAGCTGTCCACATCCCATCTGAGTTCCTTCAACAGTCAAAGTTTCATTAAAGGAATTCTCTTTCAAATTCCCACAGCTTGGTCTACCCTAGAAACTCACTCCCTTGCCTGACCCATGAACTCTTCCGCTGCATTGCTCAGATTTGTACCAACTAGTGATGGCTTTGAGGTAGGATTTTGTGCTGGTCCGTGCATTCATGCCATGCCAAGGGCCAGATAGAGTATGGACAAAGGCCTGCCACATGCATTAAAGTAAATCTGGAAATGTCACAGAAGTCCCTCTCTGGGGATCAGCAACCCTGTGAGACTGCCCAGTGCACACCGAGCTTTCCCCTTCCAGCCTCTTCCACAAGAGAAGGGGATGCTGACCTTGCAGGATGCAGGACCTCTTGTATTTTAGTCAAAACTTGGCGCTGGGTCCACTAGGTAAATGCTGAGCAACCTGAAGAGCAGGAGTGTCACAATATAGACATGGAAAACAGGCAAAGGGGGATTTCCCTACGTGCTGGAATGCAGTGAGTTAAAATGGGTGTGTAAAAGGCAGATGATTAAAGGACACAGTTGTGAAAATGGTGGTCTATATTTTTTCTGGATCTTGCTGTAATCTGGGAGCTGGGAGGACAGTCCTTCAACACTGACCTCCAAGCAGCCCATGCCATGCCTGCTGGCCCCAGACCTGCCTCCAAACACTGGGGAGAAAGTTGGTGTCTGAATCTCCTGAGAGCCAATGGGATCAGCGGTACTTACCTTGATGGGGAAATAGTCCCTCATGTACCTCCAGACGATGCTGTTCCGGATGGCATGGATCTTCCTCCCACCCTTGCTGGGTTGTTCCCTGTCTATGAACCACCATGCAGCATAGAGGGCACTGACCAGCCAAAAACGCGTGAAGAAGAGGGCGATGAAGGCAGCTGTGCAGCACTGTGCTGAGAGAAAAGCCAGACAGTGAGTCGGCAGTTGGGATAGGTGGACACTGGGAGAGGAATGATTCACCTCAAGGAACTCAGTCTGTTTGGACCTGGGATGGAGTCCAAGCCTTCACTGGGTTTGCTGACGCATTATTTTATCAGTATGAAGGCACCTTTGATGCAAAGTGGTGGGTTCTTTCCCATCTGCCCCAGGAACCTGAAGAGCAACCAAGCACCATCCTTGCAGTAACCACCTATTTCTCCAAAGGCCACTGTGTCCCCCTCTTCCCACAAGACTGATAGACCTCACTGCATCCAGGAGGGTTCTGGTGGATCAGATCTCTATCCCTTTGCTGTCTCTTTTTTTTCTGCACTCAATCTGACCACTGCAATGGTAATGCCTGTGTTTTACCCCAAAACTCCTGTTAATACCACATAATCACACAGAATCATTAAGGTTGGAAAAGACCTTTAAGATCATCAAGTCCAACCATCAATCCAACACCACCATGCCCACTAAACCACGTCCCAACGTGCCACATCCACATGTTTTTTGAACACTTCCAGTGTTGATGACTCCACCACCTCCCTGGGCAGCCTGTTCCCATTCTTGACCACTCTCTCTGTAAAGAAATTTTCCCTAAGATCCAACCTAAACCTCCCCTGGCACAACTTGAGGCCATTTCCTCTCGTCCTATCACTGGTTACTTGGGAGAAGAGACCAACCCCCACCTCACCACAACCCCCTCTCAGGTAGTTGCAGAGAGTGATAAGGTCTCAGCCTTCTGAGTGATAAGGCCTCAGCCTCCTCTTCTCCAGACTGAACACCCCCAGTTCCCTCAGCCGCTCCTCATCAGACTTGTGCTCCAGACCCCTCACCAGCTTCGTTGCCCTTCTCTGGACATGCTCCAGCACCTTGACGTCCTTCTTTGACTGAACACAGGATTCAAGCTGCGGCCTCACCAGTGCCGAGTACAGGGGCACAATCACTTCCCTACTCCTGCTGGCCACACTATTGCTGATACAGGCCAGGATGCTGTTGGCCTTCTTGGCCACCTGGGCACACTGCCGGCTCATGTTCAGCTGGCTGTCAACCAGCACCCCCAGGTCCTTTTCTGCCAGGCAGCTCTCCAGCCACTCCTGACCAAGCCTGTAGCGTTGCATGGGATGTTGTGGCCCAAGTGCAGGACCCTGCACTTGGTCTTACTAAATCTCATACAGTTGACCTCAGCCCATAATGATGGGGCCATGATACCCCATGATGACACCTGGTATTTTGTAACAGCAGCGAAGCGGGGCAATACTCCCTGTCTGCACAATCCCCAATAGCTTTGTCCTGAGCTATCGAGTCCCCATTTTAATTGTGTCTTGGATTTTTAATTTTTTATCATCCCATATGTAAGATTTTACTCTTTATTGAGTATTTTGCTCTTTATTGAGGTTTTTTTCTTATTGATTTTAGACCTTTTCCTCCACTTCTCAGGTTCACTCTCAACTCTAATCTTGGCCTCTAGAGGATTTTCAGTCCTTTCAACTGGGTGTCATCACAGATTTTATAAGAATGCTCTCTCTCATTCCATAAGACATTAATGACTTGAGACTTTCCCAAATCATTAAAGACTTTTCTGGGCTGCTTTCATCAGAGCTCAGCTTTGCCCTCTACTTTCCACCTCCCTCATGCCCTGTGTTTTGGCACAGGAACAAGAGAAGGAAAGTCTGTGTGCAAACAATCATCATTTGGTACATCAATTCCCACCCAAGCCCAATGCTGGCTGTCTGCACAGAGACTGGGAAGTGCTGATAGCCACCAAGCTGACACCTGGTTAAGCAGATGCCCTAAAAAATGCCTGGGAAGAGCTATGTGCTCTCCATCTGTGCCTCTGGAAGCCTTGGTGTTGTCTGGGAAGGAGGAGACTGAGCTACAAATATCCCCATTCATCCAAGGCAAAGGCCTTACCCACCTCATGGGTTACAATCATGTTTATGGGCTACATATTTTGTTCTTCTCTGGGTCTTCATCACAGATCCAGCACCCAGGGCTGAAGGACATGAAGATGGAAATGCCTTGTTCAGGCTTCAACTTCATCTGTAAGATAGACTCATCCATGCCCTCATCCTCTGAGACCTGGATTTTCATCTTTGAGAGTCACCTGGCACCTACCCTCTCCGTCTCATCTCTGCTAAGGCCTATGAAAGAGGAGGTACATGATGCTCTCATCTGAGACCTCCTTGTACCTCCTGTTTGCTTTTAAGCAAATAAGTAGAAAGGAGAAGGTCAGAATGAACCACTGCTCGTACCTGGTGCCATTCTTTTTGAGTGCCACAGACACAGTCCTTAACACTTGAGGAAAAGAGCATCCAGCATGAAACAAAGCTCTAGGGTCCATATGGCACATAAACGCTGCTTGAGGAACCAACACAGAGGTTGCAATTTTACTGCACCTGGGAGCCAGGTCATCAGGTCTGCTGCAGAACTGCGCAATGCCTAATTCTCTCTTTATCACACTGTGCAAAGCTCAAAGTACATTCCGCAAAATGAAGGAGTTGTTCTGGTCCAAATCCATGCACTTATCGCCCAAGTGAGGCTTTATCTTGAAATTATATAATTATTAATTACTCCCTCATTTGCAATTCAATTTTGGTTTTGCAGAGCAGAATATGGACATAGTGACCTTCACTTAACATTTTTTTTTTTTGTGTGCTTATAAAATCTTACAGTGTCCTGGTTGCTGTGGGAAAGGAGCCCATTCCCATCCCAGAATGGACCCTCAGTCTGAAAGTTGCTGTGGATGGGACCAAAGACACAGGAAGGTTCCAGAAAATCTACAGTTAAATCCTACGATCTGCACCCAAAGCAGTCCCTAGGGAGACACATGATTATCTATGGGCTATATCTTGGTGAGAAGGAGGCACCCTGTACCTCTGCCTGGTATGCGAGGGGGAGTCACTGTAGCTGCTTGGATCAAGGGAGACTGTTGTCCCCTTTCCAAATTTCTTGCAGACGTCTGTGTTTCACGTCCTCAAACTCTGCAGTAGAAACATAGCAGAGGCAGTGCAATCCCATGGGTTACACACCAAGGCTTTCTGGACGACCAGTGGGAAGACATTCGCCACGGAGGTGTATTGCTGCTTCTTGAAAGCCATGTCAGGTCCCCAGACCAGGTCCACCACCGACTCTACTGCCCAGGACTTCATGCTCTTCAGCCTGGCTCCAAGGTCCCTTCACCAGCACCAACCTGGCCTCTTTTAGGTTACACAGGTGACTCTTCCCATCTTAGAGTCTCCTTGTTCACCAAGCTGCTGAAGAAGAATATCCCACCCAAGAAAGGGCCAAATCCTGCATCCATCTGAGCTAAGGGCTAGAGGGAAGGACTGTGCACCAGGATCCAAGATCTATTTCTATTCCTGCAAATCCTGAGTCTTTCCTGAATCCACACATGGTCCATCTCCTAGAGGCACAGCAGCACAGACAACCTAAAGCCACCTCCTTGCCCCTTCTGCTTCTTTTCTGCGGGACAGGGCAGAAGGGATGGGTGGCAAACAGGAATATTTGCGTGTTGTGAGGCTGTTCCCCATAATCACTGCTTTCTTCCGTTGAGGGCAATCCCAAGGGGAAAATGAAGAATGACAATGGTTTCTTGCCTGTCCCTCCCTGGACTGGGGACCACTTCAGAGCTTCCCAGATGAAAGCCATATTTCCCTCAGCATCTACTTCCCTACAAACAACTGTCGTTTTCTGGGCTACCTGCCAGACAAACACTTTAAAGGATATCATGAACATGGCATTAGGCTCTTGGCCAGGGAACCTCAGCAGATATCTCCTTCCTGGGGCCAAACTCCAGCCTACATACAACCTGCTGTGCCCACAAAGCAACCCGCAAAGGGCTGTCAGGTCTCTGAAATGCTGCTGGAAGAGATGGCAGTCTGCGTCTTGATGGGGATAGAGGGAAACCTGCAAGTCCGCGGTTCATTAGAAACCCATCTTTGAACCCTGTCAGCTGCCAGGGCTCTGCAGAGCCAGACAAGCTCTCCAACTTAGAATATAGAATGGTTTGTGTTGGAAGGGACCTTAAACACCACCTAGTTCCAACCCCCAGCTTGGTCAAGCTCTCCATGGGAGCACACTCTGGTGAGGATGGGGACCACAAGCCCATCAGGACACAAGTGGCATTAAGATGTGATTATAACATGGCTCTGCCTCGCTGCCTTTGCAGTATTCCTTAAGGGAAAGGAGGGGAGAATTACCTTCAGTATTCAGCCATAGCGTCACTACAATATCTACCTTCCACCTCTCTGCCTCCATAACTCCCTTGATTCCCAGCCTTGGGCTGCAATCTCTTCAGCCATGGTTGTAGTCTCAGGAGGAACAGGCAAGTTTGCAGTTGCAAACAGATGTGATCCTCATCTCCTCCCTCTGCAGGTCTGGACTCTTGCGAGGTAGCCCAACTGCACGTGCTAAATTGTTATAAAATGGCTTAAGCCCTTACACACAGGCCTTTCAAGGCAGACATCACCATGAGCTGCAAGAGGAGGTCTAAGAGCATCATGCGTGTCTTTGCAATCACATCAGTTCGGTTACCTGAAAATGGCTTCAGAATCCTTGGCTGGGCTGAGATTAGTTGCTGCACTGTCTACTCTGCCATGGAAAGTGAAGAGACACTGCTTCAAACCAAAATGCCCTCAACAAGAAAGAAAGCTCCATACAGACCCTAAATCTTACACTTTCTGTTCAGGCCAGATGCCAGGAGGTTTGTCTGTGGTTGTCTGTGGTGAGGTGTGGCTCTGGGTGAAGCATTTGTAGGACGTTTCTGGACTGTAGGGCCACCAAGAGCTGCACTCAGCTTGTCAACCAGGGGTGCAGCTCTTCATGACCTAGGACCCTGCACCTCACATCTCCATGGCCGTACAGGAGTCAGCAAAGAGAAGACACATTCATGTGGATGTGATGGCTTTCTTGGATATCCTCGCAGCCTAAGTGGCCTCCTGGGCCCCCTCAAAGAAGCACAGAGCAAAAATGAAGTGGTGGTGGTGGGTATCTCATGTTAAGTAGTTTTGATGTGAGCTGCAAGTCCCTCCCTGGATGAAAACATGGACATACCACAGACAACACACATATATCATAGAATCACAGAATCACTAGGTTGGAAAGGACCTTCAAGATCATCAAGTCCAACCATTAACGCAATGCCACCATGTCCCCTAAACCATGTCCTGAAGTGCCACATCCACACGTTTTTTGAACACTTCCAGAGATGGCGACTCTACCACTTCCCTTGGCAGCCTGTTCCAATGTTTAGCCACCCTCTCGGTGAAGAAATTTTTCCTAATATCCAATCTAAACCTCCCCTGGTGCAACTTGAGGCCGTTTCCTCTCGTCCTATCGCTGGTTACCTGGGAGAAGAGACCAACACTCACGGGCCTTTTGGGCGAGCCACAGGCCAGAAAGACATGGATGACTTTTCTGGCCAAGTCCAAACAGGGACCACGTCCCATGTGCTGCTGGGCCCGACATTGCTGCTAACCCAGCATTTCCTCAGTCAGCCTGAAACAGGGAAAACAGCAGCCTACGGAAAGAGTTTTTTTGGCATCGCAGCAGCCCCGGAGCGATATTGCTGTTGCAAACGAGCCCCAGAGCGAGGGTTTGCAAGGTGCACGTTGCTGAGGTCCCCGATGTCGGCCTCCAGTCCCTGGCAGCGACGGCCTGCGCAGATGCT